AAATTCCATGAAAAATTCTGGGATCAGTACCCCCACAATGACCTTTTAATAGTCAAACTCCCATCATCCAACTGAAACTTCTCATGGAATTTTGGGATCAATATCCACGTGTTGACCTTCTATTAGCCAAAATCCATAATCCAACCAAAATTCCATGAGGAATTCTGGGATCAGTATCCACCTAATGCTCTATTAATAACCAAAACTCCCATCATCCAATCCAAATTCCATGAGGAATTCTGGGATCAATATCCACATGTTGACCTTCTATTAGCCGAAGTCCATAATCCAACCAAAATTCCATGAGGAATTTTGGGATCAGTATCCACCTAATGCTCTATTAATAACCAAAACTCCCATAATCCAATCCAAAATTCCATGAAGAATTTTGGGATCAGCATCTGTAAATAGCCTTTTAATACCCAAACCCCCATAATCCAACTGAAATTCCATGAGGAATTTTGGGATCAATATCCATATATTGGCCTTATAATAACCAAAGTCCATAATCCAACCAAAATTCCATGATGATTTTTGGGATCAGCATCCATATAACAGCCTTTCAATAACCAAACCCCCATCATCCAACTGCAACTCCTCATGGAATTTTGGATCAGCACCTCAACCTTCTCAACGCCTCGAATCCATCCCCGTTGGAATTTTTCGGGATGGATTCCCGCCCATCCCTGATTTTCCCCCCAGGACGCCGTTCCACGCCGACGTGTTCCGCTCCTACAGCTGGTCGGCCAACGTGTGCGGCCGGAAGAGGTGGCTGCTGTATCCCGCGGGACAGGAGGAATTCCTGCGGGATCGCCACGGGAACCTCCCCTTCGACGTGACGGCGCCGGATCTGCGGGATGAGCGGATTTATCCGCGCTCCAGCCGGAGCCAGCCCCCGCTGGAAATTCTCCAGGAGCCCGGAGAGATCGTCTTCATCCCCAGCGGGTGGCACCACCAGGTTCACAACCTGGTGAGGGCACGGATCCGCTGGGAATTCCACCGGGAAAGGGATGTGGGATCCCAAAGGTTTCCTTGGGATGGATGGATGATGGATGGATGGATGATGGATGGATGGATGATGGATGGATGGATGATGGATNTATTCCATGTTGGATTTGGGATCCTTTAGGATCTTTTCTGGGAATGTTCCCACTCCTTCCAGCTCCCTTCCCTCAGCTCTGCCTTTCCTTCTCCAGCTGGGAAGGAATTTGGGAAGGAATTTTCCCAGTGGGAATAGTAAGAGGCTGGGCTGGAATTCCCAGAGAAGCCGTGGCTGCCCCGGAATCCCTGGAAGTGCCCAAGGCCAGGAGCAACCTTGGAATGATCCTAAAGGTCCCTTCCCACCCAAACCATTCCGTGTTTTCCCCCTATGGAAAATTACTCTGGAGCAGCTCCTACAGTCAGACCTGGATTGGGATTTGAGTTGGGATTATTCCATGTTGGATTTGGGATCCTTTAGGATCTTTTCTGGGAATGTTCCCACTCCTTCCAGCTCCCTTCCCCCAGCTCTGCCTTTCCTTCTCCAGCTGGAAGAGAATTTGGGAAGGAATTTTCCCTGTGGGAATGAGGAGGGGCTGGGATGGAATTCCCAGAGAAGCTGTGGCTGCCCCAGAATCCCTGGAATGTCCAAGGCCAGGAGCAGCCTGGGATGGTGGGAATTGTCCTTGGAATGATCCTAAAGGTCCCTTCCCACCCAAACCATTCCATGTTTTCTCCCTATGGAAAATGACTCTGGATGGAGCAGCTCCTACAGTCAGACCCGGATTGGGATTATTCCATGCTGGATTTGGGATCCTTTAGGATCCATTGGCTTTTCTGGGAATGATCCCACTCCTTCCAGCTCCCTTCCCTCAGCTCTGCCTTTCCTTCTCCAACTAGGAAGGAATTTGGGAAGGAATTTTCCCTGTGGGAATGAGGAGGGGCTGGGCTGGAATTCCCAGAGAAGCCATGGCTGCCCTGGAATCCCTGGAATGCCCAAGGCCAGGAGCAGCCTTGGAATGATCCTAAAGGTCCCTTCCCACCCAAACCATTCCATGTTTTCTCCCCATGGAAAATGGCTCTGGATGGAGCAGCTCCTACAGTCAGACCTGGGTTGGGATTATTCCATGTTGGATTTGGGATCCTTTGGGATCTTTTCTGGGAATGTTCCCACTCCTTCCAGTTCTGTTCTCCCAGCTCTGCCTTTCCTTCTCCAGCTGGGAAGGAATTTGGGAAGGAATTTTCCCTGTGGGAATGGGGAGAGGCCGGGATGGAATTCCCAGAGCAGCCGTGGCTGCCCCTGAATCCATGGAATGTCCAAGGCCAGGAGCAGCCTTGGAATGATCCTAAAGGTCCCTTCCCACCCAAAGCATTCCATGTTTTCTCCCTATGGAAAATTACTCTGGAGCAGCTCCTACAGTCAGACCCGGGTTGGGATTATTCCATGTTGGATTTGGGATCCTTTAGGGTTTTTTTTGGGAATGTTCCCACTCCTTCCAGCTCCCTTCCCCCAGCTCTGCCTTTCCTTCTCCAGCTGGAAAAGAATTTGGGAAGGAATTTTCCCAGTGGGAATGGGCAGGGGCTGGGATGGAATTCCCAGAGCAGCCGTGGCTGCCCCTGGATCCATGGAATGTCCAAGGCCAGGAGCAGCCTGGGATGATCCTAAAGGTCCCTTCCCACCCAAACCATTCCTTGTTTTCTCCCTATGGAAAATGGCACTGGATGGAGCAGCTCCCACAGTCAGACCTGGATTGATGATTATTCCATGTTGGATTTGGGATCTTTTAGTATCCATTGGTTTTTCTGGGAATGTTCCCACTCCTTCCAGCTCCCTTCCCCCAGCTCTGCCTTTCCTTCTCCAGCTGGGAAAGAATTTGGGAAGGAATTTTCCCTGTGGGAATGGGGAGGGGCCGGGATGGAATTCCCAGAGAAACCGTGGCTGCCCCGGAATCCCTGGAAGTGCCCAAGGCCAGGAGCAGCCTGGGATGGTGGGAATTGTCCTTGGAATGATCCTTAAGGTCCCTTCCCACCCAAACCATTCCATGCTTTCTCCCTATGGAAAATGGCTCTGGCTGGAGCAGCTCCTACAGTCAGACCTGGATTGGGATTTGAGTTGGGATTATTCCATGTTGGATTTGGGATCTTTTAGTATCCATTGGCTTTTCTGGGAATGTTCCCACTCCTCCAAGTTTCCTTCCCCCAGCTCTGCCTTTCCTTCTCCAGCTGGGAAGGAATTTGGGAAGGAATTTTCCCTGTGGGAATGGGGAGGGGCTGGGATGGAATTCCCAGAGAATCCGTGGCTGCCCCCAAATCCCTGGAATGTCCAAGGCCAGGAGCAGCCTTGGAATGATCCTAAAGGTCCCTTCCCACCCAAACCATTCCGTGTTTTCTCCCTATGGAAAATTACTCTGGAGCAGCTCCTACAGTCAGACCTGGATGGGGATTTGGGTTGGGATTATTCCATGTTGGATTTGGGATCCTTTAGGATCCATTGGCTTTTCTGGGAATGTTCCCACTCCTCCAAGTTTCCTTCCCCCAGCTCTGCCTTTCCTTCTCCAGCTGCAAAGGAATTTTCCCAGTGGGAATAGTGAGAGGCCGGGATGGAATTCCCAGAGAAACCGTGGCTGCCCCGGAATCTGGGCCAGCGAAAATTTGGGATAAGCTTCTCCTTCAACTCCCTTCCACCCCAAACCCCTGGAATTCCATCCTGAGGGATCCACCCTGCTCTTCCCNTATTCCATGTTGGATTTGGGATCCTTTAGGATCTTTTCTGGGAATGTTCCCACTCCTTCCAGCTCCCTTCCCTCAGCTCTGCCTTTCCTTCTCCAACTGGGAAGGAATTTTCCCTGTGGGAATGGTGAGAGGCTGGGATGGAATTCCCAGAGCAGCCGTGGCTGCCCCTGGATCCATGGAATGTCCAAGGCCAGGAGCAGCCTGGGATGGTGGGAATTGTCCTTGGGATCATCCTAAAGGTCCCTTCCCACCCAAACCATTCCATGTTTTCTCCCCATGGAAAATGGCACTGGATGGAGCAGCTCCTACAGTCAGACCTGGATTGGGATTTGGGTTGGGATTATTCCATGTTGGATTTGGGATCCTTTAGGATCCATTGGCTTTTCTGGGAATGTTCCCACTCCTTCCAGCTCCCTTCCCCCAGCTCTGCCTTTCCTTGTCCAGCTGGGAAGGAATTTGGGAAGGAATTTTCCCTGTGGGAATGGGGAGGGGCTGGGATGGAATTCCCAGAGAAACCGTGGCTGCCCCTGGATCCATGGAATGTCCAAAACCAGGAGCAGCCTGGGATGGTGGGAATTGGCCTTGGAATGGGATGGGATCATCCTAAAGGTCCCTTCCCAGCCAAACCATTCCTTGTTTTCTCCCTATGGAAAATGGCTCTGGAGCAGCTCCTACAGTCAGACCCGGATTGGGATCATTCCATGCTGGATTTGGGATCTTTTAGTATCCATTGGCTTTTCTGGGAATGTTCCCACTCCTTCCAGCTCCCTTCCCCCAGCTCTGCCTTTCCTTGTCCAGCTGGAAAAGAAGCTTGGGAAGGAATTTTCCCAGTGGGAATGGGGAGGGGCCGGGATGGAATTCCCAGAGCAGCCGTGGCTGCCCCTGGATCCATGGCATGTCCAAGGCCAGGAGCAGCCTGGGATGGTGGGAATTGTCCTTGGGATCATCCTAAAGGTCCCTTCCCACCCAAACCATTCCGTGTTTTCTCCCTATGGAAAATTACTCTGGAGCAGCTCCTGCAGTCAGACCCGGATTGGGATTATTCCATGTTGGATTTGGGATCCTTTAGGATCTTTTCTGGGAATGTTCCCACTCCTTCCAGCTCCCTTCCCTCAGCTCTGCCTTTCCTTCTCCANCCCCATAATCCAACCAAAATTCCATGAGGAATTTTGGGATTGGTATCCATATAACTGCCTTAATAGCCAAAACTCCATAATCCAACTGAAATTCCATGAGGAATTTTGGGAAAGGTATGGATGCAGTGGCTTTTTAATAACCAAAACCCCATAGTCCAACTGAAATTCCTCATGGAAATTTGGGATCAGTGTCCATATAACAGCCTTAATAACCAAAACTTCCATAATCCAATTAAATTCCATGAGGAATTTTGGGATCAGTATGGATACAGTGGTGTTTTAATAGCCAAAACTCCATAATCCAACTGAAATTCCATCAGGAATTTTGGGATCAATATCCATGTATTGACCTTCTATTAGCCAAAGTCCATAATCCAACCCAAATTCCATGAGGAATTTTGGGATCAGTATCCACATAATGACCTTTTAATAACCAAAACTCCCATCATCCAACCAAAATTCCATGAGGAATTTCAGGATCAGTACCTCCATAATGGCCTTTCAATAACCAAACCCCCATAATCCAACTGAAATTCCATCAGGAATTTTGGGATCAATATCCATGTGTTGACCTTCTATTAGCCAAAGTCCATAATCCAACCAAAATTCCATGATGATTTTTGGGATCAGCATCCATATAACAGCCTTTCAATAACCAAAACTCCATAATTCAACCAAAATTCCATGAGGAATTCTGGGATCAGTACCCCCATAATGACCTTTTAATAGTCAAACCCCCATAATCCAGCTGAAATTCCATGAGGAATTTTGGGATCAATATCCACATTCTGACCTTCTATTAGCCACAGTCCATAATCCAACCAAAATTCCATGAGGAATTCTGGGATCAGCATCTGTAAATAGCATTTCAATAACCAAAACCCCATAATCCAACTGAAATTCCATGAGGAATTTTGGTATCAGTATCCACCTAATGCCCTATTAATAACCAAAACTCCCATCATCCAACCAAAATTCCGTGATGATTTTTGGGATCAGTACCCCCATAATGGCATTTTAATAGTCAAACCCCCATCATCCAACTGAAATTCCATGAGGAATTTTGGTATCAATATTCATATATTGGCCTTATAATAGCCAAAGTCCATTATCCAACCAAAATTCCATGAGGAATTTTGGGATCACTATCCACATAATGGCCTTT